AGGACGCTTTTGACATGCCCACAACTACTCGGCTTGATGAACTGTCTGGGTCCGTGATCCAAAAGCCCCGGGACATACGCATTCAATTCCCCAAACGCAGCTTAGCACGACAATAAAATGAAGTGCAGCGCATAAAAAAAGAGAAAGCCGCTTGCCAGATGAAACGAAAGTAAACAAAGCCCAAAGTGTAAGTGCGTTGTGCATAAAATATTCGCCGCAAGTTATAAGCCAGCATCAAAATGGACACCGAAATTTCCACTAGTCAATATGCCAAAGGTCATGAAAGCGCCAAGGCATCCCCAACAAAAACTTGCTTAGCATCGGGATTGGAACTACAACTACACTGAAAAAAATGATAATGTATTTGTTTTTAATGAATTGAAAAATTTAAAAGTGCTACCTTATTAAAAAAGTCAACAGAATTAATAGAACATATTATATTGTTTGTGTATTGGGCAAATGTGTTGTTATTGTTGAGTTACAAAAAAAAAGTTGTTTTTGTATTAAAATTATAATTTTAAGAAATGTAGTATAACTTTTATAGTGGTGTTAAAATAGTCCATGGGTCATATCACTAATGATTTTAAAAACCAAAAGTCCTTTATAATACTTATTATTTTCTTAAAATGGCTCTGTTTAAAACTTAATCTCGTTATTGTTTTGTAAATAAAAGATTAATTTAATTTCTTGTAAAAAACCTTTTTTTAATAGTATGTTTTTACAGAACTATCAAAATTTATATATTTAAGCCTTTTATAAACTAGTGAGTTTTCTTATTATTATTAAAACTATAATTATATTTGGCAAGAAATATTTATCTCATGTCATTCGAAATTTTTTTTTCCTGTAAGAACTTTGAACCTAAGGCAGGCCAGCGATATTTGGGCGTTCTCACAATAACAACAAAAAAAGTTAAACACACTTTATGTTGGGGCTTCGCTTTCGAGTTTTGGGGGTCTCCAAGGGGGGAGGATGGAGCGCAGGATGTGGCAAGTGGGTGAAGTGGGTGAAGTGGGAGCTGTGCGTTTTGTGGATTTGTGCGCCAAACCACCAAAGCAGAAAGCAGAAAAAAGAAAACAAACGACATACAGCTCAAGCAACCAAAAGTGACGTGCCCAGGAAGAGGACGATGGAAATGGCAATGGCGACATGCCTGCCAGCGGACCGAAAAAAAAATGGGGGAAAATGGAACGGGAAAAATGTTCATCTTGGGCGCTAACACTCGAAAAAAATGATTGACATATTTTCTCAATTTTTAAATATACTTATTTGTGATAAGAAAAGTGTGTTTATTATAAAGATGAGTAAATCAACGTTAAAAGCATAAGAAATAACTTAAAATTAACCATATATTGTTTTTATAAAACATAGAAAACATAAATCTAACTTTGATATTAATTCTGTAATATCAAACAAAAAATAAAATGTTTTTTAAACATTTTCAACTATTTTAATTTTTACCACTTTTCTATTTGTATAAATATCTGCAATTGGTTTAACATTAGAACTGTTAGACCATTTTCTATGAAACATTTTTATTAAATATTGTATTGAAAGCTTACTTTATATTTTGTATAATTTATTCTTTTATTTTACTTTTAGTTTTGGTAAAAACAAAATAGATTTTTAACTATCATTTTAGCTTGGTTTACTATATGTTATGCTTACTAATCCCATTTCTTTATTTTTGCTTAACTTTATTTAATAGCCTATTTAATGGTGATTTGTGTTCATTTTTTCTGAGTGCTAAAGCGGTGGCAGACAGGAGCCAGCTCGAAGGATTTGCCAGGCACGTAAGCAGTTTATAGCCAGTCGACCCCCCTCAAAGAGAGCCAAAAATAAAAGTTCAGCCCACATTTTTGGATGCTGCCATCGTCATTTCCTCGTCCTGCCTTCCCAAGTCCTTGGGGTTGGTAAACACGGCACCAAATTGCCGTTTAAATTTCTCCCCAATGTCTACGCCTGGGGCCAAAGCGGCCTTGAAACATTATTATGACTGTGACGCCCCGTTTTCCCCACCTGTTAGGCCTGCCCCAAGGATTCCGGGCTCCCAATCCCCCGGACAACTTTATATTTGAAGTTGTGACTGCCAGACAAAGCCAGCCGGGGGAACCGTGAAGACAGGCGTTAAATGCTACCTATGCCTCCCAATGGACTTGGGGATCTGGGATCTGGTGTTCGGGGGTCTGGGGTCCATGATCCATGTCAAGGGTCTGGTCTGGGTGTGCCAGGGGTTATTCGGCCAACTTACGGCTCTGTCTGCTGCAGCCTCTGTTCTTTGTTTAACTAATTAAACTCTTGTAGCAGCGAGCATGCAAATACCATTTGGCCTTACTCGCAAAAACACGTGTCGGCTTGGCATGAAAAAGAGCGAAAACAATGGGAAAGAATGTTTTAGGCCCTAAACTAAACGCATGTCAGAATTGCATTGTTTTCTTTGAGCCGGAGACAAGAAAAATGATGTTGCCCAGGGCCAGGATCTGGCCAAAATGCCACTTGTTCGATTTCAAAGGCTTTCGAATGACCTATCTGAACTTGCACGTATATGACATAAAAATAAAGAAATTAAATAAATTTTTAAAGAATTTTATAAAATTATTTTTACTCAGAATTATTTTATAACAGTATGAGTACAATTTTTTCAGAAAATGTATACTTTAAGTTTTTGTTATTTTAAAATTTTTAAACAAACAAAATAAAAATCAATTTAATTAAAAAAATTGAAATCAAAACTAAAGAATTTTTTTAATAAGTTAACAATCATATCTTAACTAATTTAAAATTAGCAACTTTACTGAAATTCTTTCAAAAACTTAATTATTTAGCATTTTCAACGTTATTTGTATTTAGAATATAAATTAAATTATATTAAAGAGTTGCTTTCTTTTACTCCTAATTTTTATCCAACACATAATGGTTCGAATCAGATAGACTCAACGGTTAAATTGTCGCTTTATGTTTGCAATGCTCTGTGTTTTTCTGGACAAATGTCCCATCATCAGCAACTGTAGGGCATTAAAACTAACTGCTAAATTATTAGCAAGACAACCCATCCATCTCGGGGGCAGATCCTCCTCGGTGGGTCTTTGCACACGAAAACAGAAATGAAGAAAAATTGCGGCTTGTCAGTGGAAGGCAGAACAACAATAAAAAGGACAAAACCGACAACATGAAGACATCTTCAGCATCTTTCGCAGGAGTAAACGAAACACGCGCCAGGAGCATCCAACATCCCGCATCCAGGACGAAAAAGTAATAAGTGTGTCTATTTGTTTGCAAATATTTCATTTCCCGTGCCGTTTACTTTCTATCTTCCTTCCGCCCACAGCAGCCTTGGTTCGCAAAAAAGGAGAAAGCATGGAACTGTCACGAAAGTCGCATTTCCCCAAAACTAAATTATATAACCGTATATCAAATTTAGTCCCTGTTTATGGTTTTGGCCAACAAATTCAAATTGAATTGCCAAAACATCTCTTATGCCCGGGTTAAACTATAAATCCAAGAGATATCTTTTCAAGAAATCATTTATATTATTTGTCAAAGGTGAAGTAACATTTTTAGAAACTGAAATATTTAGCGTTCATAAAGCATTAAAAAGTAAAATAGATCTTATATGGCATAATAAAGAAAAACATATTCTGTGGTCTAGAATAAACATTGATTTTGCTTGGCAATTGGAATTTGATCAAAACAAATCGAAAGAAAATTTATGTATATATATTTCTTTAGTTAACAAAGTTACCCACTTTTAGATACCTATTCAAAATCATTTCCAACTGAGATCAGCATAATAATATTATATATTTTCAATTTAAAGGTTTTATGAACAAATTTATGATTTTTTTCTTTCATTTGAGTAACTGCTGCTCGACCATTTGATTTATGTACATTGAACTTGCTGAAAGTTCAACTAATACATAAAATGCAAACGGCGTGCGTGGGCAAACGAAGGAAAAAAGTTAGTGTAATTTATAAAATGCAAGCCACACATGGTGCCCTTGCCTGTACGAAATGCTGAATGTTATTAAAAACAATATAAACAACTTCCCGGTGGGTTGTTCCGGGTCGGTTGTTTATGGACGCCCGAGCCTTAAACCACAAAGTACCACTTTTCCTGCCTATTGGGCGGTTGTGCGGCAGTTGCGGCAATTTTCAAATTGACTTTTGCACATGTTGCCGCCGTAGCGAAAATGCGGGCAAACAATGTAGTCAAAGTGTGCTCCACTAAAAACAAAAAACATAGCGCAATAGGCCTTAGCTGTCTGGGTGTGTTGGAATCAGTGCTGCCAAGATTCCATAAGAAAATAAGGATATAAGAGCAAAAAATATGGAAAGCGCCTTAAATAAAATGAATTACATTTGAACAGAAGGGGGCATGGTTTTTATCCTGTCTTTTCATTTTACAAAATTAGTAAGTCTTACAGGTTTTAAAGAAATCCAATAAAATATTTTATAAATAAATAAGTTAACTAGGTAAATTTATAAAATCATTGAACATTCATGTTCAAAAAAGAGGTACGATCTTTTATTACAAAAAATCCGGTTTTTAAAAAAATATATTATTGTAAGCAAATGCAATTTTTAGAGGTCTTATTGTTTTTTTTGTATTACTTTAGTGAAATTTGTTTGTATTGTGACTAAAAAAATCGAAAAGTATTTAAAAGTCTAAGCCAGCAACACTGACATGAGTCTTATCCACAAACTAGTGCAAAAAGAGGGCGAAAAATACAAAAATAAGTGCATAGCAAAAACGTGCCAATCGAGCGCGTGAACGGAATAACCAAATAGTTTGCCGCTGCTGCGCCAAAAGTCAAATATCTATCAAAACAGCATTAGTGGCGGCAGCTGCTCTGTTTATAACATTTCGGGGTCCACCTTTTTTTATTTTAATTTTAGCGCCATGACCCACCCCCGACCTGCAACACTGCCCTCAGGGGCGGCACTCTCCAGCACTGTTCCCCTCAAACAGTGTTGGAAACGATCACGCTCAGTTTTTGCACGCTCACATACACAAACAAGGGTAACAACGCGAAGAGAGCGAGAAAGAGAGAAAAGAGAGCTCGAGAGAGAGAGAAAAATAAAAATTTCCAGCGGCGTCGGTGGATTTGGTATTGTTCTGAACGCTGCGCCGCAGTTTCGAGTTTTTGCCTGTTTTATTCCACTCCGATTTGTTAAAAGAAAAGCAAGGGTTCCATGTCAGACATGCTGAAAATGGCAAATGTTGCAAATCCGCTGCAAACAATGAAGAAAACAAACGCTGAGGAGGATTCCGAGGAGTCTGACATGGAAGATCAGGATGAAGAAGAGGAGGAGGAGGAGGACGATCTCCCGGACGATGTGGTGCTACAAATTGACAGCGAGGATGAGGCAGAACTGGAAGCGCAGCGCATCCGCTTGGTGGAAGAAGAAGCAGCAAAGACAACAAAAAAGGCAGAGAAAGAACTGCAGGAACAACAACAACAAGCGCAGGTCAGTAACGGTAACGAAGAGCAACTGGAGGAAACTGGAAAACCCAACAACAGTGGTAAGCGCAAGGGCCGTGGAAGGCCCAAACGCAGGGCTTCCACGAGTTCGCAGGCTTCCAGTGCGTCGATTGCGTCCATAGCTTCCCTCGCTTCCAGTGCTTCCCTGGTGGCAGCACAAGTTCTCGCAGATGAGAAGTCACGCCGCTTCATCTACAGCTGTTCCAGCTGCACTCACCACTACGCCGACAGCCTGATCCTCTCCAGACACTTCCAGCGGGCACATGCCGCCGACAAGCCGAAGAAAAAACGCGGTAAGACCAAGTGGGATTCCCTGGCAGAACCTCTGGATATTACGCCACCCCTAACATTTGACCCTTCGGAATTGGGTCACCTCAAGCCCTGTGCCCAGTTGCTCGTCCAAGGGGAATCCCTGCTGCAGCTATGTCTCGCCTGCAACTCACAGTTTGTGGATGAGGTGCGTTTCCAGGAGCATCTCAGCCAGCAGCATGGCTATTTCAAGCTACTGGTGCCCAAGGATGAACCCACCGATCTCCCGCCCCAGGCCATGGTCACCATTCCGGGGGCTCTGGCCCTGGGCAAGTCCAACTCGCAGCTTCAGCTGCCCATTCCAGCTCCAGAAACTCCACCACCCGAGCAAGATGCCAAGGAATCGCCATCCAATACCGGGTCCAATGACAAGGAGGATCTCGCCCTGATAAACGCCATGGTGGCCGAGATTGCAGCAGACCGCGTGAAGAAAACCAGTAGTCCTAAGGTCAGCAAGATGATTATTAAGCTGCCCATGCCCAGCAAAAGGGGCAGAAAAAGGTCGAAACCCGAAAAGATCCGGGACAGCAAAGATAAGTCTGAGAAGATTCGTGAAAGGAAGCAGGACAAGCCTGAGAAGAAGAAAAAACTGGACAAAAAGGAGGAACAGCAGACAGATTTCGAACCACTTACGCCAAAGAAATCTGACATAGAGATGGAACAGCAGCAGGAAAAGGATGCAAGGGATCAGCTGGAACCAGAAAGTGCTGAAATGAAACTGCAACATTCGGAAAAGGTTAAGAAAGATCAACCGAAGCTGCAAACATTACAGATAGAAGTCCAGCCGTCGCCTCAGAATGCTGAGGAGTCCCAGCTTCCAGAGAAAGATGAGCAGCAGACGCTGGAAAAGCCTGCAAAAGATCGAATGTTGTCGGAGAAGACTATTGCGGAGCTGCAAGTACTACCAAAAGATGTAAAGGAAGACATAAAGTCCACTAAAGACAAACCATCGCTCGCAAAAGTATTAAAAGCAAAACAACTTCTGGAGGAACCTGCAAAGGAGAAGCAGCCGCTCGAAAATAAAGCACAAGAGCCACAGCACATGCAAAAAAATGGTGCCGAGAACCTTAACATTGCTGAAGACGATCCACAAAAACTGGAGATTGATGACAAAGAGCACCAGGCACAGTTGGAAACACCATGTCACGATCATCACCAGCCGGCAAAGGCAGCAAAATCGAAACAAGCCGACAAAGAGCAGCAGCAAAAATTTGATAAATCGGAGAAGGATCAACAGCATCAGGCAGAAGTAAGTTTGATCTTAAATAGACGTGACGAACATTCAATAAACAGCCATTATTTTCAGGAGCCTTTTAATCCAACTAAGCGCAAGCGCGGCCGTAAAGAGCGCAAGTCACCCACACCCGTTCCCATACCGCTGGAGGACAAAGAAATCAAGGAGGAGGCGGAGCCACCGGAGCGGCGCACGCGCAAGTCTCGTCAGCAAGTGCACTACGTGGTGGATATCAAAGATGAGGAGGAGGAGGAGAAGGAGGACGAGGAGGAGGAGGAGCCAGAGGTGGATGATGACTCCTCAGCCACTGTTTCGCCGCATAACAGCTCAACGGACGACAGTTTCACCTCGATCAAACGTGAGTCATCCGAGGAGTCGCAGCGCAATGGAACTGGTGGCATACACACCTGCAATTTCTGTGGCAAAACCTTCAAACGTTTCTCGAGAATGCAGGATCACCTGCGTCTGCACACTGGAGAGAAACCGTACGTTTGTGGGCAGTGCGGCAGGGCATTCCGCCTGAAGATGCGTCTGGTAGAGCACCAACTGCGTCATCGCACGGAAAAGGCATACAAATGCGAGATTTGTTCAATGCCACTGGCCACCAAACAGGATTTATCGCTGCACATGCGTCATCACAAGAACGATCGTCGCTACAAGTGCGACAAGTGCAACAAGGGATTCGTTCGCAGCTCAGATTTGTCCATCCACGTGCGTATTCACACGGGCGAAAAGCCCTATAGCTGCGATCTGTGCGGCAAGGCGTTCCGTGCTCGCCAGAATCTGGTGGTTCATCGACGTACTCACCTCGGCGATAAGCCCATTCAGTGCGAGCTGTGCGACAAGCGTTTCGCTCGAAAGATCGACATGCGGGTTCACATGCGCAGGCATACAGGTGAAAAGCCCTATAATTGTGATGCCTGCAAGCGTGGCTTCTCCTCCCGTGTGAATCTGCTGCGCCACCAAGAGCGTGAGCACGGCGAGGACGAGAAGACCTCTGGATCTGGAAAGGTAGAAAAGAAGAAGCCAGAGCCGGTGAAGGAGCAGGAGCAGGAGCAGGAAAAGGAACCCAAAGCTAAAGCAGCGCCACGACGTCCGCGACGTGAGAAGTTGCAGCAGAAGATTGCGGCCCAGGAGAAACTACTGGATGACCTGAAACGCAGCTTGAGCGCCCTGCCAGAAATCTCCGAGGAGTCAACGCGGTCCAAACTCAATGGAGCTGGCGGGGAATTGGCCGCAGATGCGGGAGCAGGGCGTGCACAAGTACAGGTCACAGTGTCCATGCAAATGGAGCCGGCTCCCAATGCCGAAGACGATGAGGAGATCACACCGGAGAAGGAGAACGCCTTGTCAACGAGCTCAACGACCTCCGATGGCAAGACAAAGGCGAATCGCAAGATTACCAGCTACTTCACTGTTGTAGGTCAGCAGGCGGAAATCTAAAGACTTATGTTCAGGGTCAGCAACACTTCTTACTCATTACATTTTAAGATGCTGCACTGTACTTGGAAATGAAGGAGACATTTCCCTAGCGTAGTGTACACCTCGCAATTTTACATTTTCGGATTTTCAATGCAATCTTGCAGCAGGGATCAAGTATTTTCTTTTTATACTATTTATATATATTTACGAATTAATTTTGAGGTTCTATGGAGACGGATACCCAGGAAATATTTAATGTTGTGAAGGACATATAACCAACAAGAACAAGAAAAGACTACTTTTTAAAAGAAATATTGATATTTGATACAAAAAAAAAACAAGCAAGAGACTGCAAAGAGTTAAATACCATAAATATATATATATTTTTCTATAGACAGAGCAACTTTTGTGAACAAAATAAGTTAAACTATGTAAAAAAAAAAATACCAATACACTAGCATGTAAGTAAGTAAGGGAAATGTTTGCAACCTGTGAAAAACTAAAATATCTTGAAACTTAATTCCTACAACTCGAATTTCATTTAAACCGAATTGAAGTTCCAATCAACGATTTTTTATTAATAATTTGTAAACAAACGCTCGACCAAATTCAATCTTATCGAGCTTCCATATCAGCAAAATATGATATTTATAAACAAATGCGCACAGCAATTCGTATTTTATTTGCAAACATTTCCTTTTCATTCCCCCCTCATTTATAAACCGAATAAGCTGAAGAATGTTTCACAATTTCATTTAATTTCACCGCACACATGAAATCAATTGCAAGTCACTTAATATGCAATTTATACGAAATCTCCAACATATACTCAAAATTCCAAAACAATTGTAGTTTAATGAATATAATTTATATCTATAATGCATAAGCAAATGAAATGCTCTCGGGAAAAGTATATTTTCCTTTGAATTATTCTTGCACTATCTCAGCACTCTGTTAGCTATATTTATTTTACATACTTTACGCATTTACTTTAACATATTTACTTAATTTCTCGAATCGTAAGCATACCGAATAGACAATGCAAAAAGTCAGCAAACGTTTATTTCCTACATATTCTGAGTGCATTTTTTGTAAATTTAATTTGTGGCAGCTTCTCTGATTCTGTAGTATCTAAGAGAGTCCAATGAATATACGTTATTTTATAATTTCACATTTGTCGATTTTAATTTGATGCCACTTGCAAATTGTTGCGACCGGTACTTCAACCCCCGAAATTGCAATTACTCGAATGGGGGTGTGCGAGTTTTATGTTTTATGTTTATGGCATAGGACAACAAAAGGCAGCTGCTGCTGCTGCTGCTGCTGCTGCAGCCCCTGTCAATTTTTCAGCACTAACTATTGCTCGAGAGGATTGGTATTGGGGTGGACGAAGGACTAAGGAGAGTAAATGTCGAGCAGCAGTTTATCATTTGTAATGGGGTTGTACACGGTCCATTTCGTAGTGCCAAGGGGTTGATATGTGAGAGAAGATAAATGAAGCGGGACAAATGAGGCAGTGGGAGAGCGGTAGGAACTGATTTATGCCTAGATCCAGGTGAAAGAGCTATCCCTAAGCGATCGTTGAACTCTACGGTGAAAACTTAAGTTAAATATGATTAAATTATGACCTTGTCAAAATGATCTACAATTAAATAATTTAAATAAATGTGTAGAACTAAACTAAAGCTAGACATCATAAACAATGAAGTAACATTAATTCATTTTCTATACTGCTTTTTGGAGTGAAATGTCTTCCCACTTGAAACTTCTTTTTTTTTTTAAATAACACATTTGCTTTTAAAAAATAAAGCGATAGTGAAAAACATTAAATGAAAAGAGAGAGATAGAAAAAACCTAAACGGAAATATGAAACTGATAAGTTTTTGTATTCCCTATGAGGTTGACAGTTTTATTCCGCCCGGCATTTTTGTCTAAACAAAAACCAATTTCTTTGGTGCCGCTCTTGTTTCGCATGTTTTGGCCATATGCTTATCATCTGGTCGCTGCAATGACAATTTATTTTGTTCTGGCTTTCAAACAAAAGCGCAGCCAAAGAGAAAATGCCAAAATCAGCGAATATAACAGAGGCCAAATATGAGAATAAAAAGAATTTAGCTTGCTGCATGCGCCTTCAATGCAATATTACGCATACGAAGCGTGGTACCGCGTGCTTTGTTTGTGAGATTGTGCCAAAATACAAAAAAAAATGAGGAGAAACAAAAAGATAGTCAACGTGACACACTACACACACACTACACACACACATGTGCACGTTGGTGTGTGCGAAAATATGCAAATTAAGTGTGGCGACTTTTGTTCTCGCCGTTTTTTGGTGTAGAAAGCGTAAAAAGCGAGCAAAAACTGTACGTATACACATTATTTGGGCTGGCGATTGTGGAAAGCAAAGCGCCGAAAAAAACGAGTATACGCCCCGTTGTACAGTCAGTCAACTAGAGTGTGTTTGTGTATGTCTATGTCGGCTTGTGTTCGTGTGCCGATCAAGCCTGCTCTCCCCTCTCTTCTTCTCCTCACTCCTCTTTTGTTTTGTTTTTCCCCCGTCTCGTCAGCATTTTTACACTTTTATGTAGCTGGCTTTTAATTGAATTTCGCTTCAGTCTCAGACTTTGACTTCTTCTGTTGTTTCTGCTGTTTCTTTTCGCTGTGGTTAATTTTAAAACTACCCATAAAAGCCACACGCTGCGCCAACGTCGACGTCGGCAAGGGCAGCGGCTTTTGCCACTAATACAATTACGTCCTGCCATCGAGTTTGTTCTGGATATGCACTGAAAAAATCAATTATTTGGGGTGTGTCCGGTTATCGTTCCGGATACGATTAGGTTATGGATATACAAAATTTTAATAAATAAAAAAGCATTTTGAAACTAAATCATTTTTTATTTGCTTACAAAATATCACCATTTATTAATTAAATATATTTTCTTAAAAGTAATTTTTTTCCTGTGTAGACTCTCTTTTCAATCTCTCTTTCTCTCCCCGGCTGGCTTGTGTTTGTGTTTTTGTTTGTTAAGCCTCTCTGCGGCGGCTGCGTTTCTTCAGCTCTTCTGCATTCTTTTTGCGGTCGTTAACTTGCAACTGAACGTTTTGTTGTTGTTGATATTAGCCACTCCGTTCTCTTGCTGTTTCTGTCACCCGCTCAATGTTCTATGTTTTCCGCTCTTGTTTGTGTTGCTTTGTTGTTGGGTTGATTTGTTTGCGCAGCTCTCGTTGCTGTGTGTGTGAGCCGCTTTGCCATCGACGCTTCCGTTTGTGTGCGTAGGGCGAAAGAGAGAGCAGACAAGTTTTCCAACACTCAAACGAGCGCGCGCCATTTAAAAAATTTAAAATCGCCAACGGTGCGTATGCATGATAAGCGAGAAAAGTTCAATAATTTGAAAACACTACAAGTTGTTTGATGTTTTCAATGAATTTATTATTTTTAATAAAAATAAGCTGGTTCGTAGTATTGAATAAATTTATTTTACATCTCAAAAAACTTATAAAAGTAGCTGTGGTAAATATAATAAAATGATCTTGCAATTACAAGTAATATAATCACGCTGATAAATTGTAAAACATTTATAAGAAACGTAAAAAACTTATACGTTAATTTAAAATTTTAAAATTTCCCATTAGAGCCGTGAGTGAATTTCCGCACGAGTTGAACGAATTTTAATCAAAAGAACACAATTAGTGATTAAAACGTAAAGAGCCGAAAAATCGTATAATGAATGCATAATATAATTTACTGGTTAAGTATTTTTCCACACCAGAAATGGGTCTTTCTTGAATTGGCTCAATTGATTAACACATTTACCACTGCAACTTTTATTCATAAGTTGCTGACAAGCCTCATCCACATGAAATGCATTAAAAATTATTTATCCATAAATCATGCAATCGTTAATAAATAAAAAATGCATTCGAGTTCATTTCCCGTCGACAGTGAAATGGCACATAAACAAACAAACAAAGTCGAAAATGTAAAAAAATGGAAATAAAGGTGAAAAAATATAGCCAAATGCATAAATAAATCAGAGCAGCGGGGAAACAACAATGCGGCCTGTCGTTCTGTCGAACAAACAAATATTCATAATTGTAAAAAAGCTCAAAGTCAGCTCCCGCAGGGCTTTGATGGAGTACGAGCGAGAGATGTGCATGGCCAGAGTGGGATGGGTATGGACTGCAACTAACCGCTGAATGTGCATAATTTATAAAGCTAATTAAACGCGCATTTAACTAATTAAAAATATAGCGCGCTTCAATTATTGAAATATGCTGCCCAATTATGATGCAGTCCAAAAGTGAGACAGAGACGGAGACTGGTCGGAGGAAATTTGCAATTAAAATATATGTTTGTGTGCAACCCATTCGATTCCCTTGCCGAATATAGCAGAATCGAATGCTCAGCGTGGCGTATACGTAACGCTAATCAATGTGTATATTACGTATACGACAGCAAAGTAACATGACATGTGTGAGGGTTCAAGCTGGTTTGGAAATTTGTTGTTATTGGCTTCACTGGCGGCTGGTGTTACTGCTGCTGTTGCCTTTTTGGCTTTTAGCAACCAAATACTAATTGACATTTCGCTATGCCGCCTACTGAGAGAGATGGGGAATAATAGGGCGGAACACATGTCTATAGCTTTACAGTTAGCCCGCTACTGCTTGCCAATGCAAAAACAGTTTCAATTAAGCAATTAGCGCCATTGAAACAAATCCAACACGTTTTGTGGCTTATAAACTGAAGCATCATGTCGATTGGTTCGGGCCCTGCGGTCGATCGAATGGAACCGGGAATAGGCCATCGGATTGTGGATTTTGTTTTCTGCGGCCATTCATTTAGGGCAATTAAAGGGTAATTGGGGTATGCGTGTTTATTCAGGACGTGATTGATTGATCCAAAAATCTGTTTAGTAAGGACTAAAAATAGGCTGAACTTCATTGTAATGTATAAAACTTATGTATAAAGGAAAAGTGTACTTTGCTGGCTCTGATTTAAGTCTAAAAGATCATCCTTGATTCAATTTGTATTAAATCAGTTAAGAAGTTTTAAAGGCAATAAAATCTTGAAATCTGAATAGGAAATGTAAGGTTTCCTTAAAACACAGTATCTGGCAGTCTACTCAACTGCAGCAAATACTGATTAGTGTTTGCCTTATTACGTTCATTACTAATACAAATGCGGAATGCCATTTTAGTTACTGCTGCTAATTTGCGCAACATTTTTGTCCCGTTCAGTTAGCATATTTATGCGAACTCTGCGCTTCGATTCAATTTTAGCCACAAATCGAAAACAACAAATAGCATTTGCATATATACATTTTTAAAGTCTTGATCCTAAACGCTTATATATGTACATCCGTAAGCAGCTTACGGCTTTGTTGTCTGCCGTGAAAACCGTTCTGTATTGACGTCAGTGTTTTGCCCTCCTGTATTATATAAAGCAGCTTAAATCAAATCCATCGCGTGTTTTTCGGGGAATGGCAGAGAAAGCCGTGCTCGATTCGACACGATTTGACGACTCCTGTGGACATTGGCCCTGATGGCTATGATGCATCGCCATTGCCATTGCAATTTGCACTTTAATAAACCCGATGAAGCGAGGCGACTGTTAATTACATTTGCAAATTCAATCAATTTCGAACAGCCTAATTTAATTAACGAATCGCTAAGTTTAAATTGCGGCGTTGCCAAGTTGGTTAAAATTGTAGCAGAAGTTTTCGTTTAGTTAATCAATCTTTGTTACTGTTCGCAGGGGCTTCTGGTGTTAAAGTTTATCTGAAAAGTTTGCACTCTATTTATGTACCGATTCGAGAGGGTTTATTTTTAGCTGCTTAACGCATAGTTGGGTATTAACTCCTTAAGCACCTTATCTTTATTTGATATTTGGGCAATTCAGCTAATTGGTAACACCCACAATAAACTAATAGACCGTGACACTACAAAGTAATCTTTATAGCGTTTTGATTGGCCATTAAATATATAAACAGATGAATTACCCCTTTTATAAATTCTTATTTTTTTGGGCAATTAAGGTTCTGCGAACTCTCTTAATGCTTACATATCTTAACCTGCCCATCAACATAAATCCCCTGAAGCAACAGAATTTAATTTGTGGCCTAAAGGTCTTAGCCGCAAACAAATATTAAACATATATTTACTATTTAAGGC